CCAGCTTGTCCCTTGTGGCCGGGGAACCCACCGTTTCCTCCCCAGATCCTCGTGGATACACTGGGGAGGTAGGGGAGTCTGTGGCACTAGTAACGCCGCTGCTCGGTTCCGACCTCTCCCGACGGCTCGGATCTTTAGCGTTTCCCCCTGTCCCTGACACGAAGGATGGGGACGTGTTTCCGCTTGACCCCGTGTCAGCATCAGGTGACCCACGGGGGAGCGTTCCGTTCGCTCTCCGGAAAAACGCCCCGATGTCTACCGCCTGGTCCGTGGGCTCCGACAGCGTCTTCTTCTTTCTTTTCCCGCTCCTCCCCATGTTATCGGCCAGAGCGGGGTTCACAGAGATCAGTGCAATCTTGGTCTTGGACTCTATCGGTCAGGTCAGTCAGGTCTGTTCTTTGCTGTCGGTTTCTTCTATCTCAATCCATGCTTGTTGAGGCGAGGTGTGGGAGCTACAGGTGTACACACCTTACACCGCCATTGTCCCTGGGCCACTCCCCGCCTGGCTATAGATTTGATATTTTTTGTACTTTCTAAATCACTGACCTGGAACAAGTAAATAAGGCGTTCTGACTTCAATCTGATTTTCTGGATCTGCACATTTGTCCTGGGTCAGTAATTTAGAAAGAACTGAAGCCAGAAGCATCTAGACAATTAGCATTTCTGCTGGAGTTTAGTAATAACAGCCTCCACATTTTTGTCAGCAGGTTTCCTTCAATTCTTGATTGGATGTGTAACTGATTGATTTTCACTACAATTAAAGAATCACTTATCCAAAAAACTAGCAGGGTTATTCAGAAAATGGTGAAGAGTTTGGAGAAGAAATGAGAAGTGAACAATCTAGGACAACATAGCTGATTTGGAAAAATTCTCCAATTCAGCTCACTTTCCAGTTCAGCTATGTTGTCATAGATTGTTCACTTCTCGTGTCTTCTCCAAACTCTTCACCCTTTTGTGAATAACCCTGTTAATAAATATTTTGTGCGGTACAACAAAAACCATAAACAATATAAATAAGTGTGTGTAACTAAGGCAGGGCTATAACTTTCCTCCTGTTTTGAAATCCCTGTGTTACTTTTGATTTTGCACATCCCCTCCCTCCAAAAAGACTCAGGAAATAGAATGTGACTGAAGCTGCATCCAAAAGCCTGATTCCCCCCACACCAGTGTGATGCAGAGGTTGACTACAGAGACCATTTATAGAAATCACCGATTTACACTGTTATTACTTGTGAGTAGCGCTGCATAATAATGCATTTACCTGTTGCCATGACAACAAGGTTGTCTCTTCTTTCTTTTAAAACTGAATGTATGACTTTCCACTGAACTCTAAGTAAAAGAAGAAATGTTATCATTATGACTGCAAAAAGCCATGGATGGAAGAATAAATGATATTTAAAAAAACTAGTCATTAAAAGCAGCTCCAGGCAACATTTGCTAGTCACTAATGCTATCCAGGAAACACTGCAACTACAGTATGCTAAAGTCAGAAGGTCCACTCAGTTTATCTTAAAGGGAGCACGTGAACCTGTGAGGGTAACTAAATGGTCATTTCTGACTTGCTTTTGAAAGTGCAACATCTGGCACCTTTGTAGTCTATATGATGAAATAAAATAAATGAAAAAAAAACCAGTTATATCAAATAAATACAATAAACACTAAAAGTAAAGTGCTTATGAATTTGATTTGCTTACTTAGAATGTGACAAAACTAACTAACTAACTAACACTGCATTCAATCATCTAATTTTTCTGTCTGTAGAAATGGCATCCTTTAAGAGCTGTCCTTTGTAATGTGCAGTTTGCGTTATGCCAAGGAGTCTATTTAGTCCTTGTAGTTCTTACCTTGGACTGCAAGTGAATTAGTCCCTTAAATGTAGATAATTTGATAGTGAGGGTGGGTTAGCAAATGAGCATGGGCAGGGCTGATACCATTCAGTCCCAATTGGAAGTTGGGAGCCAAGTGCCCTTCTGTCAGATTAACAGGTATGTCACCAACATTTTGCTAGGTCTTGAAAGGGATAACACATGGTTAAATGTGCATGTATTGCACAGTACAGTATTTTTTACGTATGTTTTTGCTTTCACATGACTGCTCTTCAGCAATTATTGTTGATATATCAAGCACTAAAACTGAGTCCAGAGTGGGCTAATAGTTCCTATGGGCTATAGTAGTGGCATGACTCAAGAGTGTGCACTGAAGAATGAACCATCCTGCTGACATAGTGGCTGCTTTGCAGCACAGTACTGTCCTGTGCAGTGCTTATTTAGTGATTTGCAGATTAAATCTCCTCTCAGTGTAATGTGAAGCTTTTGTAGTGATCCCCACCTTCTAGGCTGTAACTTCAATACAAATAAGTAAACTAATATTGAGATTGTAGTCCATCATGGGAGCGAGCATGGAGCGGTGACTACTTTATAAAAACACACACACACACACACACACACACAGGGACCATGGGGAACAAAAGTAGGCACCCTCCAGAAGGAAGGACAGTGTCGGCACCAATTGAGAAATTATTTGAGGATCTACAGCTGAGTGATGCACAAATAAAGTACAGTATTGGTAATAGTGGACACATTAAGATTGAAGTGTCACTTTAACCACTTGAAGTCCGCGGTGTTTAGACCCCCTTCCTGGCCAGGCCATTTTTCAGTATTCAGCGCTACAGTACTTTGACTGACATGTATTCCGTCATGCAGCGCTGTACTGAAATTGATTTTATACCATTTTTTGAGGACACATAGACCTTTCTTTTGGTGGTATTTAAATCACCACTGCGGGTTTTATTTTCTACTATATTAAAGAAAAATTACTGAAAATTTAGGAAAAAATAAGGTTTTTTTACATTATGTTAGGAAACAATTATTATTACCCAATTTTTTGTTAAAATATAAAATACGGGGTCACGTCGGGTAAATATACACTAAACATGTTAAGCTTTAAAAACGACCATACCCAAAATTGGCCATAGGTGACAATTTAAAAGCTTTTACCGCTCATCAGTTTAGTGTTATCAGTGATTGATGGCCCTAGAATTATTGCTCTCACTGCGACGTTTGGGCCGATATGTAACATGTGCGGCGTAATGGGCGCAATCATCGTTTTCGCACGTATGCGCACCCGGCGCATGTTTTTTTATTTGTGACTTACATTTTTTTATTTTTTTTGGAAACTATTTTTTTTCCATTTAACTTTATTGCCATCACATAGGGGGCTAATAAAAACCCCTATGTGATAGCAAAAGATTTGACAGGTCCTCTTTATGGAGACATTAAGGGTCTCCAAGACCCCTAATGTCACCTCGGAACCCCCTGAAGAAGCTGATGAAGCAGATATCTGTTTTTAAAATTTGGTCTTTTCCCGCCCGGCACGCGTGACGGGGCGTGGCTGAGCGGACGTCTAAAGACGCCCGCTCAGATCTAGAGTTTTTTTACAACGGCCGGCCGGGAGGTGGTTAAACCAGTTGACATCCGCGGTGTTTAGACCCCCTTCCTGGCCAGGCCATTTTTCAGTATTCAGCGCTGCGGTACTTTGACTGACATTTATTCCGTCATGCAACGCTGTACTGAAATGAATTTTATACCCTTTTTTGGGGACAGATAGAGCTTTCTTTTGGTGGTATTTATTCACCACTGGGGGTTTTATTTTTTTACTATATTAAGGAAAAATTACCGAAATTTTATAAAAAAAAACTGTTTCCCCTATATTAAATGATAAACGCCGGCAGCCGCGCGGGGGGAGGGGGGGCGGACGCGAACGAGCACATATAGGCGATCGGCGGGCTTTATTGGCTTTAAAAGGAACCTGACAAAATATTTTTCTTATATTATTTATAAAAAGGTATTCCTATTTAACCCTTAGTTCACCTAAAACGCTTCCCCATAGCAATTACTTTGCTGATTATTTTTTTTTTGTTGTTGTTTAACTTTCTAATCAACAATATTTACACTTTTTTTTCCACTTTTATTGATTTTGTTCGAGAATGTGTTTTTTGTAGCATTTCATTACTAAAAGCACAAAAATGGGGAAAAAAAGTATTTTTTTCCTTTGTAAATAACTTTTGCAATGCTTTGTACCAGAAATAAATATATATGTGTTATCTTTAGTGACAAAGTTATTGCTGGATAAACAGACCGATAGCAGAAATTTAAAAATTGATCTGTCCATGTAAAGGTGTGAGAGCTGAAGTCGATAATGCATGATCCAGAGGGCTTTTCTAGTGCCCCAATCTCTATAATTGCACAAGAAGGCTCTACTAATTAGGGAAAAATTTGTTTTTTTTCATAATAATGTTTCTGATATTATAGCTTTACAACACTCAAAATGCTGCTATTACTATTGCTATTGTGTATACTTACGGTTTAAAACTTGAATGACCGAAATATGTCTTCAAGCAAGCTATTTGCTCAGCATTTGGTTCAGGAAGACACGGATCTGTTTGGACAAAGACAAATTTAAAAGAAATAAATACCAAGCAACACTTTGTTGCATATTTATAACAGTGAACATGACGTTCAATACACATTTGTGTATCTTACTGGTGCCTGTTTTTTAAAGTGCAGTGACTGATTTACCTACAGTAAAAATGTCACATTCGCTGCTTTATAAACATGCTCCTTTGTTTTAAGTATGGTATAGGCAGATTTGCTGTGCTTTGTCTGTGTCCCTAAAACAACAATGTGTCAATTATTAACTCAAACAAACTTGAGACATATCTGTGAAAAACTACACTTGGAATAATCTTAACATTATGTGGACAAGCTGCAACAATTAAAAGGGTGTCAGACACCCTTTTGAAAAAGTCCTAAGACGAAACGCGTCAAGGGAGGTGTCTGCGTTCGTCTCCCACGTCTGGCACTGCAAGGAAATGTTATGCTGTCACCCCTTTGTCCTTTTTGGAAGTGTGTTTTTATCTTAATAAAAGATCTTATTTAAATAGTACTGCACTATGGGGGCTCTCTCTTTTTTATCTTTCCCCTGGAACATCTTTGAGTGATAAAGTCTGAGAGAGGATCGTGTGTGGTCTAAATTATTATCACACGGCACACCAGAGCTTTCTAATAGAGAGGGCGAAGGTCCATTTGAAATAGAAATCTGAGTTTTCTTTTTCCCAGGAAAGAGGAGAAATAAATGAAAGAAGGAGGGGGTGGCGTTCGTTCTGATTTATTACTGCATAAACATCGCATCTTTCTGGTAACGGCAATTCATTATCATGTAGAATCACAGAATACCGCCATTTGAACATTTTGGATTTTTTTCCTGTTTATGAGACACCATTTTTTTGGACTGAATATGTTTAAATGTTCATTCATGTATTCCTTTGTTTTGTTGCATAATATGTTTTCTGCACATTGCACTGTTTTCATTTTAACCACTTCAAGACCAGGTGTTTAGACCCCCTTCCTGGCCAGGCCATTTTTCAGTGTTCAGCGCTGCGATACTTTGACTGACGTTTATTCCGTCATGCAACGCTGTACTGAAATGAATTTTATAATTTTTTTTTCACTATATAATGAAAAAAGTGCCATAAATGTTAAAAAAAAGTTTCCCTACGTTATGTTATAAAACATGTATTCCTACCCATATTTTTAGTAAAACATAAAAGTCAGGGTCACGTCCGTTAAATAGACACCAAACATGTCAAGCCTTAAAATTGCGTGCGCCCGCAAAATCGCACAAAACGCCCATAGGCGACGATTAAAACGCTTTTACTGTTCATCAGTTTAGTGTGATCAGTGATTAAAGGAGAACTATGGGGTTAGGGCTTTTCCCTATAGTTCTCCTTAGGGTAACGGGAGGACACAAACTAGCGTCCTCCCGTCACCCTAAGCTCAGTATAACGCAAGCTACATACTTCTCATCAAGCAGGTAGGAGCACACAACAACTCAAAGGTGTTAAAGGAAAGTTTTAGGGGCCTTATGGACCCTGTAAGTCCAGATACTGGTAAGGCCAGATACTGGTAGAAGCATAATTGTGATCCTCCAGTTTCAAGGTGTGGTGCACTGCATCATAAGGACAGAAACAGTCTCCTTCAACTTATAATAGCAGAAGACTGGAATCCTCAGGGGAAAGCTCATCAGTCAGCAACTTGAGCGATTCAGTGTCTGCGGGTGAACATGCAGTTGCTAATTTGCAGCCTCTGAGTTCAGCGTAGTATAGCAGCCGGGCGAGAATATTTTCTTTATTTTCGTCCCTAGATCAATATGAGCACTTACCACTGCAAGGGTTAGTTTGAATAAATCCTGGAGTTCTTCTTTAAGTAAAGAGTGAGGGGCCAAAGGTCTCTGAAACAGAATGGAAAGAGCAGACATCTGATAGCTGGGAGTCAAATGCTGGTCCAAAGACAGCTGCAGGAAGGAGAGGATTTGTCTCATGGAGAAGCTCTATGGGTGGAAACCCTAAGAGTCACAACAACTGATAAAAGATCTTGCGCGAAGTAGACTTTCTAGCTTTAAGCATCGTAGGAATCACAGATTCAGAGATGCCCCCGGTCCCTTGGAATCTGGGATTCAGAAAACATGTCATCAAAGCAATCAACCAAGAAGCAGGATGATAAATCACCCAGTGACAACCTGCCAGAAGTCTTACCAGGCAGCAATTAAGATAACCACTTTCATCTCAATCCCGCAGAGCAGACAAAAGAAGTTTAAGGGGAGGGAAGGCATAGAGCAGCACATATTGAGTCCAAAAAGCCACCAGTGCAACCCCACAGGGGATCTCTGGATCTGGATAGGAACCTGTCCAGTTTGTTGTTGAACCTGGAAGTCAGGAGGTCCAGAATAAAGACAGCTGAGGGGGCTGGAACATAAAGTTCTGCCCAGGACAGGATCTGCTTTACCTCTCTAGCCACAGAAAGACCTCTGGTTCCTCCCTGATGGTTGACAGGTCACCACTGTAGTATTGTCTAACTAAATCAGAATCGGCTAACCCTCCAACAGGGAGGTCCAATGTGGAAGAGACAGCCAAATTGCCAGAAGCTTGAGGATTGAAGGTGTATTAGAGACAAATTTTCTCTGACAACCAAATACCCTTCAAAGAAAAGGCAATAATACAGATGTGGAGACTTGGGCAGCTTCTGTACTTAAGAGTTCAAACGTGAGACCAAAGAATCTGAAATTTCACTTGGGAAAGGTAGACTGGCCCAAGACATGTACAGGACCAGACCCAGGTACTCCAAGTGGAGAGTCAGTTCCAGCGATCACTTCTGAAGTTTAAGGGTCAATCCAAATCGCTTTATCAACTGTTTCCTCAACTGGGGGTCCTCTAGGTATCCCAAAAGGGGGATGCCCTGAGAACACAGCAAGGCAAACACTGGGGACCATCAGATGGACAGGTGCAAGAAAGAATCTTGGATGTCTACAGAAGCCAGGGAATGTCCCTGGTGGAGGGACAGAGATGACAGATCTGGTGGATTAAATCTGAAATATCTTGACTCTAATGTACACATTTAAAGCCCTGAGATCCGAGATGGGACTAATGCACCCTTTCAGTTTGGGAACAGTGAACAGGCTGGAGTAAAACCCCTGGAATTATTCTGTCACAGGGTATGGTCAGGGACACCTTGATCCAGAAAACCAGAGAGGAGAGATGAAAGGTACATTTACTGAGCAGTCAGCTCCCTAAGCTACTTCCTCCCCTAGGGAAAAAGCCACCAGCAGCCGAAATGGTCTACTTGATTTTGGGAGTAGTAGAAGCAGAAGACTGTGACTCCTTAGGGGTGAGCTCATCAGTTAAGGACTTGAGCTACTCATTATCAGATAAAGTCTCTGTGGCTCACAGTGTAGAGGCCAGCAAATTAGATAAAAAATCTGTTGAGGCTTGTGGCCTCTGTGATACGAGTCAGCAAAGAGAGTAAGTTGGGTCATAAAGATTTGTAGGACTCTGATAAAGCTCCCAACCAGAGAGACAAAGAACTCAGCCACAATTGACAAAGCTAAAGAGGACTCTGGAGGACAGGAGAGGCTAACAGAAGAGCACAGCATGACTCCAGGCTGCAGACTTTAGCAACAATACCAATGGCTTTGGACCTGAAAAGCACTCCACAGTTTTAATTTTTTACCAGAATCTAGTGTGGCAAGCGACCAAACACAGAACTCAGTGCCCAAAAATCACTTCCAGGTTGTCTCTGCAACATTCAATCCACGCGGTCTGGATGCGATACTCCAAAAGCCAGGCAGGGAATGATCATGCAGAAAGCTGCTGATTGCAGGGAAAACCTCTATATACATATTTATTTATTTTATGTGCACACAGACAAATATTTTCAGATTTGCCAATTCCCATGAAGTTATTAGTAGAAAAGAAATCTGCAGCACAACAAATTGATTTATAATCCTACTGACATGTGAGGTCTAAAATAAGGGCACTTAATTGCTTAATCAATTAATTGAAGCCATTAATTTCAGTTTCCAATTGTGATGTGCTCAGATGTATGGGCTGGACTTTTACAGTGGAACTGAAATCAAAAGTTAAGATTTACTATGCTATAGGGAAAATTTTGAAATGATAATTGTGTCTAAGCAGTATCTTTTGTCCAGAATACCTTTTCAAAAATAGCATTGCACTTATTAGTATGCAAGTGTGCCTAGGAACTCCGGTGCCTGCAGGCTCATAGCTAAATATATGCAGTGTGAGATTAACCCCTTCGTGACGGGAGACGTACAGTGTACGTCTTGTCACTTTGTGCCTATATGACTGGCCACACCACTGACTGCCGTTTTAGGAGATTTTCTGGTGATGTTACTACTGGGCTGCTCACGGTTCTTCTTGCTGGAGGCTCTGACATGAGGAAGCAAAATCCTGCCTCTATCAAGATGTCCCAAGGCTTTGTAAGTCAGTAAAGGAGAAAGATCAGTTCTAGGGACATCACAAGTAATGCTGGGGACTAGTCCTTTGCTCTATGCCTTTCTTTTCTTTGACAAGGCTTCCAGAGATCAGTTGTTCTTTAACTGCAACAAAAACTGACATGCAGAAATTAATTTTGTGCAATACATTTTATTTAATCTTGGAAGGTCTTACCCCAGTCTTCTTCAATTTCCTCTTCGATGCCTTCATCTTCTTCGTCATCCACAGCATTATTCAAATATTTACTATTTGTCGAGAATGATTTTGTTCCAGTGTCATATTCTGGGCTGTTTTCCAAATCCGCTACAGACTGAAAATTTAGTAACCAAGAGGATTTTTACTAGACTACATATGAAATAACTGCTAAAGTATATACTGTATATCTGTAAAAATGGAATGAAAGCTTATAGTACAGGGGTGCCCATTAGGTCGATCGCGATCTACCAGTCGAAAGCGATCCCTGGTAGATCGCGATGTCCTGTCCTCCTGCCGTGGGGCTTCTCTGGATCCCCGCTGCTCTCCCCCATCTGTATGCAGTGGGGATCAGTGATATGTACCAATCCTCTGTGTCCCCAGTTATGAATGAACAGGATGTGACTTACATCACTTCCTGATTCGGCCTCACGAGCACCACAGGAGGACAGGACGCGGGCGCCTCTAGAACGCACTGGAATGCAAACCGGCCGACTCCCTGCGTTCAGGTGCAGGAGGGGGTGTGGGGTTGTATTGAAGTCAATGGCACCGCAGCCATGTCCCCCGCCCACAGTGCGATCGCCAGCCTGCATTCCGGTCCAGTGCAACCTGCAAAAATAGTGCTTGCAGCATTTTTGCAGGTCGCACTGGGCCGGCACGCAGACACTAATGTGCCTGCGTTCCGGGTGCGGGCGATCGCACTACGGGTGAGGGGCGTGGCTGCGGTGCCATTGACTTCAATGCATCACCATGCTCTCCCCCCCAGAATGCAGGTGTTTTTTCGTTGGTAGATCTCATTGAGCTTGTCATTTGAAAAGTAGATCTCCGAACGAAAAATTGTGGGCGCCCCTGTTATAGTATCAAAGCATCCTATTCATTTTTAAACACAGCACTAAATAAACACCCCAATTCAATCAATTACAATATCAGTAATATAAATGATCATAAACTTGTGATTGTAAACCCAATATCTTTATACATGAAATTCGTAACCTGCAGCAATGCATACATATGTATACAAACTTGGAAATAAATAAACATCCAAAATTATTGTGCATTCATATAAATTACAAGGGTGAACATTTCTTATGGAAATGAGTGAAATAATGAATCAGACTGCCACTCCTTCTGAAAGGTCTATGCGACAGCTTTACAAATCTGTGCATCTGTATTGTTGGGCAGCCAAGTGCGACAGTTTGCAAAGTTTTAAGAGAGATATATTACTAAAGATGCAAGATTTTCACTCTAAACAGATACATTAACAAGTGGTCAGGGTCAAACTTATTCTGGAGGAGTGCTACTTTAGAGAAGCTATGAAAGAAATTTTTGACTCGTACTGTATCCTTGTAAAAAAATCTCTCTCACAAATTACATACTGTATAACAAATTTATCTTTTATCACTTTAATTCTGTACAGTTTTAAACTTGAATTAAAATAATGAACAAGAAAAAAATACTTTGCCTGTAAATGAAGAAACAAAGCTTATTAAAAAAAAAGGCTAATTACACTGGTTCAAAAGTAGTTACCCCTAAACTTTCAACAAGATAAAATAATTGATCGAAAGAAACAAAGCGCTAAAGGTAAATGTATGGGCAAAAAAGTGAGCTATGAGTGATTCTGGCGAGGCCAGTATAGTATATTCTTTCGATCATACTAGGTTTCACCTCTTCTTAGAGCAGCTTTGGGTTTATTTATTCACATTTATTCATATTTATTCACATTTATTCTTAACTTATTAACTTAATCCATCTAATTTTTTATTACAAATATCACTTCTCCAGAAGTGCAGATTTACTTGTTTACAAGATAAAATAATTACACCGGTCATGTGTATTTTAGTTGTGTTCCATATAATTGTATATACAAGTAAACATTCATTTTTAAACTTAAAGTAAAATTAAAGTATTTATATTTTTGGGCATATATCTACTACTAGATTAAAAAAAAAAAAAAGTAGGCAAATACCTAATTACTTACCCGTTCCAGCGCTGCTCGCTCCCAGCTGCAGAACTTCCAGCTCCCGAATGTCTGTAAAGGAGGAAGTGTGTGTGCACATGCGCAGTAGAGGGGAGAAAAGAGAATTAAAGTGAATAGACGCAGCCAGGAGCGTGCATGCCAGACAGACTCCGTGGGACACTAGGAGTCTCCGCTGGATCAGGGACCAGCAGCAGCGCTGGAGGGACTGTAGAAAATTAGTGGAATGAAGAAGATCGCATCAAGGAGGCATCAAATAAGTGCTTACAGCAGCATTGGGGGAAAAAATAGCCTTCAATGTCACTTTAACTACTGATTAAAAATGATAATGTATACCTTGAGCATTTCACTCTCCAACTCTTCATCACTCTCAATACCAGGGTTGTGGTGAATTTCATCATCAATGCCCATATATTCCTGTTGGGTAGTATACATATCAACATTACAGCACAGACTGTACAGTTCAAACAGGATACACATATGAATATTTAGGGTCATCAAAGTAGTAGCATTGCATGCTTTATACAGTAAAATAAAACAGAGCCCAACACTGTAACTACAGGGTCAAAACTGAAAGACAAATTACATATACAGGCTTTATAATTACCATTTTTAAAGGAAACACAAAAATATGTGTTGACAGCATATGTATTAGCTGCTCTCCTTGCCACATGCTGTGGCTCTTCACGCCAGCTCATATGTTCTTTAGTGATGTAGGGGGGTGGCAGAAGGAATCACTGCATGCAGTGGGAAGCAAGTATTCGGTACCAATGGAAATGCCCAATACATGCAGTGGCCGAAGAGCAGTATCGCTACGGCATTTCAACACAATTTATTTTTCCTGTTTTGATCCTGCAGTAACAGGGTCACTTTGAAGGAAATCTGTCCATGCAGAGCAAAGTCAACAGGTCTGCCTAAATACCTGGACCACCATCAGATGTTTTTCCTTCATTTCCCTGCCACTTTGTTCAGTCACTGGCAAAGAGGAAATAAAGCTTGCAGAGGGCTGAGCACTGTCCCCCAACCTCCATGTGACAATACTAAGCAAATTACCAGTGCTGTCACAAGAGGAAAAAGAGAAGTAATTCACATACTTTGCCATACTTGGAAGTAAAGGGTATTTTCTTCACAGGTGAGTGGATAGGCAGAGAGAGCAAGGGAAAGCTAAATATATGATGTATATGCTAAGTATATGCTAAATATATGCTGCCAATAGACCTGCACGAGGACCACGAGGGCCTGTCATATGCTGCCAATATATGCTAAGGTATGTATATGCTGCCAATAGACCTGCATGAGGACCACGAGGGCCTGTCTAGAATTAAGGAGCATTTTACTCTTTCAGTGCGGAAGAGGGGGTGGCGTTGGGGGCCCACTGCTAGTGTAGATTTTTCAGGAAACCTGGAGTTTAGCTTTAAAACCTTTGAAATTAATATTTTTTCTTGTACCGAAAAATTAATAGCACATTTAGTGCATGGGAAATTATTAGCCAAGTATATCCAACCAACAGAAAACATCAGAAACTATCCTATTCTAACCTGACATTTGCATCATATCGAAGACATCTAGCGAAAGAAATAAGAAGGGAGCAGCTCTGAATTTAAGGTGGGTATTGCAGCAAAAGGCGATTTTTATATTTTAACTTTTATTGGATTATTTATTTTGAACTTGTTATTTTTGGCCAGAGTCCATCTTTAATAAAATGCCTGCTATAGCAGTTTATCATGACTGCACAGTGTTTAGGAGGCATCCTGGCTGATCCCCATTCACAAAAGCAATTTCAGTACAAATTTAAAGCCCAACTAAACTTTTAATTGAAATCAGCTAAATACATTACAACTCCATGTAAACAAAAAGTTTACATAATATTTCAGTTCAACTTCTTTAGAAAGCAGCCAGAACTTTAGTAGAAAAGCCTGAGTCCTGCCAGCATGTTGCAGAGAAGGACTGTTGCTCTGTGTGGAAGCAGTGGTCTCTCTGCAGAGGTCTGACATGCCCCCTACCGAGTCATAGCTAGAGCGGATTACAGAGCTATAGATGTGGTCCAGCAGTGGGTGTGTTGGATCTCTGCAGAGACCACTGCTTCTACACAGAGAACAAGGGTCTTTCTCTGGAGCATGGTGGCAGCCATAGGCTTTTCCACTGAGGCTGTTTTCTAAAAAAAAAAAAAAAAAAACTAATAACTTTTTTTTGATGGAATGTATTTAGTGGAATAAAACTAAATGTTTATTTGGCCTTTAAGGTAGCTTGCTAAAGCAGCCTCATTCTAAAATAAAGAATGTATTTTATTTGAGCGACTTGATTGTGGATTTAGTACTGTTTTGTTCCCTGTTATGCTACATGACACAAATACATATCTTAAAGTGACAGATTTTTTAACATAAACCAATACTGTAATGTGTGCCTTACTGTAATCCATGGTGGTTTCCCTTCTCTTTGCTGCTCTTCCTTTTAAATCCTCATGTCTTCTCATGCTTGGGGAGAACTTCTCTTTTCAGCTCAGGGCCTCTTCCTGTAGTGCTGGCTCAGGTTACAAGCCTATAGAAACTAATACACAGACATCGTGTATCCATTCCTGAGACAAGGCAGTCTGCTGCAAAACAGAAGTTCTGCAGAGCATGAGAACAGATACAGATTTAAAAGGAAGAGCAGCAAAGAGAAGGGAAACTACCATGGATTACAGTAAGGCACACATTACAGTTTTGTTTTATGTTAAAAAATCTGAGGGTTTAATGTCACTTTAACTCTAATGATAGGTGCTCTTTACATAAGCATGAATGTGTACAAGAATGTATTTAGTGGTTAAAGCTCACCTCAATAGATTCATCATCTTTCTTGTTGTGCATTTCACCCATGGCTTCCATCAGCTGAAATTCCTCTTCAGTGATGCCTAAAGTCATGGCAAAGTCTTGGTCCATGCTTCCTTTAAGATGGGCATCACGTTTTCCAACAGAACTATAATTTGTTTCTTGTCTACAGTCATCTCTTTTACTACTTGGTTTGACTTCACAATCAGACACACAGGCTCCAGTTTTGTTACTACTCTCCGGTGAGCCTTTACAAACCAATTCTTCAAAGTCCTCCTGTGCCTTTGATGATTCTAAAAGTACACTTCTGACATCTTCCAAGCTCCCAGAAAGTTTTGCAAGAATATCTGCAGCTCTGTAAAATTATATTTTCATGATAATGTTTACATATAAAAATGGCATTTCTGCTGTTCTCATCTTGCTATAGGTAATGGACAAAACAAAGTGGCAAAGTCTCACCAGTAAATTCCAATGCAGTAACACTTTCCTAAATAAAACCTGTACTGTCTTATTACATTTAACACACTTATAAATATAAACAATACTGTAACTGAACACATAATGGGATTGGTCCTGTAGTCCCTGTCATCAGGAATTAAGGTAAACACCCCACAGGCATGTTGTTTCACTATGTGAAACCTACAGATTACAGCTCTCAGGTTTGCTATGACAGATGAAATGGAGGCAAGGTGGCAAGTTACAATATGAAAATATCAAATTGGAGGAAAAAATGTAGTCTGCAAACAAGCTGCAGTAAGAACAGGCAGTGTTCGACCAAAGTCACAACACATAGGTGAGTGGCATACAAAACAAAAAGTTTAATCTGGAATGCAGGTTGTAACCAGAATTACAGTAATAACTGCACAATAGACTATCAAAGCACCAAAAATAATCAGGAGAGAGATTCTTCCTTGTTTGCTCAAGCACTGTTCCAGTAGTATTTACATGCACTGTCAGCAATTCAGTATACAATCACAGTCCTGAATAAAAATGGCTACCAGCGTACTAGTTTTTACAACTATAATTATGAGCCCACAACAGTCTAGGATCTAAACTCTACTTCCTTTCTAATAAGAACGGTCATAGCGACTGTTCCATTAACTGACATTTGCATTACAGTAGATCAGGATTTATAGTAGGTAATATTACACAATTACCTTTGTGTCTTTCCACACATTTCAAAATCATATGGGACTTGATCCACCAAATCAAGACACTCCTGTGACAGAGCCTTGAGCTTGCTCTTCATCTCAAGTGAAGCTGCACTATCCTCTGTAATACATACAGTAGTCAAAAGGAGTACATATAAAATGTAGGCAACATCATTATTTTTAGCCGATTCCTAAAATAAAAAAATTACCTGTACTGACATGGAACAGATCCCTCTCACTTTCATCCATGTTCTCTAGTTTTTGGTAAATTAGAAGACTGGCCTGCAAAGTAACCAAGAATCTCAAACTTTATGTAAGACTTCATGATAGTTTTATTTAAGTCAGTTCTCCTTTGACATGGACAGCCTAAATATTTGAAACAAAACTAGGAATCTACTGAAGGAGACTCTCAGCCTTTTTTATTTGATTTATTTTGAAAAACACCACAAATAATATTGATGCATAGTGCAGTCCTTAAAGGGTATGTAAATCCTGAAAATTATATTTTCTTATTTGTTCTCCTTTTGTCTGTTAAATATACAATTGAAACCATTTTTTTTTTAATTAGTTGAATAAGTCCAAAAAAAAAATCGGTGGATCCTGCCAAAAATCTTGAGCTGAAAACTGTTCTCTCTTCCTGTGCTGCACTTTTATCAGTTAAACTTTTGCCAGCTATCTCTGAATGCTAAAAGTACCCTTCTCCCCAATGCTATGGAGAAGAGGAGGGCCTAGGATGACATAATTGCTTCTGCATAGATGCACTACTGAGAGTGAGTATTGTCATCCTTGGACAGAAAGTGTGCTAGTAGCAGAAAAAAAGAAGCTTGAAAAATTAAAACTAATGCAGCGCCCACATCTAAGAACTGGTAAGCATTAATATAAATACTAGGGATGTCCCGACACCAGTATCAGTGCTGATACCAGACATTTTCACGCGTACTTGTACTCGTGAAAATGCCCCGATTCTTAAGGTCGATACCGGCCCTTTCAATTTTTGAAACCTAATCGGCTGTCTGAGTCCTTGCGCTTATGGAAACCTCAGGCAGCCTGCTGGGGACTTGGCAGTAGCTGTCCTTGGCAGTGCCTGTCCGGTTCTATAGCTCCTGCTTCTCCTTCCTGCTGCAGGCACAGCCATGGACAGCCCCACACAGCACATACAGCCCCACACAGCACGTACAGCCCCAGACCCGACACCCACCCATTCAACTCTCCATGCACCATTTCAGGCCAGCACCTGCACAATCAGCATAGCCGCGCAGAGATCCACATGCTGCATGGGTGAGATCTGTATTCAGCTTTGGTGACATGTCTATTCAGCTCTGGTGACATGTCTATTCAGCTCTGGTGACATCTGTATTTAGCCCCGGTGAGAATCAGCCCTAAAATCATCAGTCTGTATTGTTTTAGACAAAATGTCACAATGGTATCGGGGCATCCCTAAAAAAAATTAAATTTTGTTTTTGGGTTTAGATAAGCTTTAGGGTTTCCGGTAAGAATTAGGAATGCACACCTGTGCTCTTTCCTAGTTTTCAGACCCCACTGTCAACTGACAGTTTCAAGTTCTCCCTAGAGATTATTTCTTGGGTTTCGATGCACCTAAATTATTTCTGGAGACTATCCAAACATTTATGTTGGTCATTATTTGGAGTAATTATTCAACATATTGGTATAGCCAGCAAGTCTGAGTAAGTTGCTTAAACTTAAAGTAAAATGCAGGGCAACAATAGAAACAAATCAGTGAGCTACTAATGAATCCACACTACAACTATACAAAATTAAGGAATTTCACTCAATTTACCTTATTTTATGTACCTTATTTTTATTACCTTATTTCTCTGTAACCCACTGCACCCACAGTAAACTAAGACAACGTCACATGGCCATTACGAGTGTATGGCCATTATGAGCGGCCATGAAGTCTGTGTTCTGTATCATCCTCTATTTCCAGCAGTGCCAATTACATTCAAACTGCCAAAGAAGAGTAAATTTGGCTGCACTACTGAAAATCCTGACACACCAGGAATATTTTGTATAAAATTGTGGTCGGCATCACCTGTTAATTATGTTACACCACCCCATTAGGGTAGCATAGAGTGCAGTTTGGGGAACCCCCCCCCTCCTTCTTGCCACATGGACAACATGGTAATCACCAGAACAGGATGTAAAGGGGAATCCCCAGACCACATAAAAAAAGGATTTCTAATCATTAATTGGTTAGAGATGCACATCATGTTATTTCAGATAATTACACTTCAAATATAAATAACTATTATGAAAACAATGAACTTGTGATCTAACTTACATAAGCATCTGATGCAGCATAGAGTCTCTGCTCATCAGTAAGAGGAAACCTGTCCCAGCTGCTACAACGAACAGAGTTATCCTTCAGAAGCTGCTTGCTAAAGAGGTGTTTAACTAAGCCATTCAAACTCCACTTTTCTTTACATTTAAGCTGCAGAAACAGAAACAACATTACACACACTTGTTTATTACGATCTATTTTGTCAGAAAAAACAAACAAACACATTACCCACTTGGTATAGCCCCTTCCACTCTCAGCATGCCTCAGTTTTGAAACAAAGTAGTGCTGAGAGCAAGATCATGAACACAAGGGGATGGGACCTGTGTCCCTCGATGGACTTGATGATGAACACAAAAAAAATAATGTTTCCTTTCAGGGACACAGTATCTAGTGAAGCGCTCCAATCGAAGGGTGTGCAACAGAAAACAAATGGTAACAAACCCAGCCATTAAGATAACGGGGGCTGCCTGCAGCACAGAGTTGCCTGAAGGACCTTACACAAGAACCTAGCATCAGAAGAGGCCTGAACATCCACCATGAACAGAAGACCAGGTGGCAGCCTTACATATCTGGGACACAGTCGTCTGATGCCAAAAAGCCCAAGAAGCATTCAAACCTAGTCCAATGTTCCTTGACAGGAAAGGGTGGAATCCAATCTTTGTAAGCCTAAATGGCAATTTGTCTGAGCCACCGAGAAATGGTGGAATGAGAAGTTAGTTTCCATTTACTGGGACCATTAGGGATGACAAAGCGGGAGTAGGCCTTTCTAAAGGAAGGTAGACATGTATAGCTAGACCTATGCCCGGACAAAAGGGAAATATCCTTCTGATGTACTGGGGCTAGACAGAGACAGGGGCACAATGTCCTGGGTAAGGTGAAAGGCCGAGACCACATTGGGAAAGAAGGAGGTGTTAGGACTTAAAACCACATTGTCCTCGTGCAAGACCAGAAAAGGTTCACTATAGAACAAAGCTGTCAGTTCATGCTCATGCCTTGTAACGCTGCTGAAAAAGGGACTATATCTCTCATAGGTTCAAAGGGCGAATACTGAAGATCCAAGAGAACTACATTCAAATCCCATGTAGAAACAGGTGGGTGCACCGGAGGAGTCGCTTACACATCACGTACGAATGTCTTAAAGAATGAGTGGCTAGTGGTTTGAAACAAGATTGCAAATTATAAGATCTTAACCCTACTGCTCTTGTACCTAGGGCCATTGTTGATCCAGGCCTGATTGCAAAAAGGTCAGAATTCATCCAACAAAGTATTTTCTGGGATTGAAGTTTCTTTCTTTGCAATTGCAATTGTACTAAGCTCACAAAACCACCAGAGTATGCCGATATTCCGCCAGAGGATTTCTGTACCTGTAAATAAACCTGTCCGCATTGTTGTTGAATCTGGAGGCCCACATCTGGTGTCCACCACCTGTAACACAAGTTCTGGACCATTTTTGGGTGTAGGGACCACCATTTTCAGACATTGCCAGCTGAGATAGTCTGCCTGCCAATTATCAATGCCTGGGATATAAAAGGTGAAAAAGGCTAGAACATGAAGATCTGCCCAGGACAGAATCTTTTCTACTTCTCTTGCCACTCCAGACGTCTGGTTCACATACACCACTGCCATGGAAATGTACAACTGGTGCCATGGTCAGGAAACCCTCTATTTAAAATGTTCAGCAATGTTGAGCCAACCAAATAGCTCAAAGCTCCTGAATGTTGATCAGAAATCAATATTCCTCCAGGGTTCAAGCCCCCTGCACCTTCAGGGTGTCTAGGACTCCTTTGAGGCTGGAATCCTGAGATGATCTTGGAAGAAAAGGATTTCCCCAACTCTATAGCTGGATTCCTGAGCCACCAGGCCTTGGACAACAGTCTTTGGTGTCAGGCTAGAGACAACCTAGCCTTTGATGTCAGCAAAATTGGTTTGGCCAGACACTTCCATGATTATCATACAAAAGTGAAGGGTCCTTCAACACATGGACAAAAAGAGTCAGAGTCTGGAAATGGAGAGTAGGCAGTTTTTCTTTTGAAAGAAAACCCTGGCATGAGCTGTGTCCAGGATCAGACCCAGATACTCCAAGCGATTGGTCAGCTCCAACGTACACTTATCAAGGTCCAGGATCTAACTGAACCTTTTTGAGGTTCCACATTGTAGGTCAGGATCTCTGCTCGCAAAAGGAGGTCATCCAGATATCCCACAATGGGGATGATCTGGGAGCATAGTAAGGCAAGCACAGGGGGAAAAACCTTAATGAATGCACGGGATGCGGAAGACAGCCCACACGACAGGTCCACAAACTAAAGATGTTGAGGACCCACAGCAAAGAAATAACTGATGTGCTGGAAAAATAGGTACATGCAAGGATGCGTACTTGAAGTCTACAAAGGCCATAAAGTCTCCCTGATGAAAAGACACTGACATACCAACAACGTTTTATTTGGATTTTCAGCAGCAAATGAAGGCATTCAGTTCCTTGAGATACAAGATGGGGAGCAAACTTCCTTTTAGTTTTGGAACTTTGAAAAGGTTAGAATAAAAGCCATGAAACTGAAAATTTCCAAAACAGGAAATGGGGCAAGACCCCTTGTTCCAAAAGAGCTGCAATGGCCTGTTGGAACTACCTCTTGTACACAGGCTGAAAAATTAGATACTGTCAGTCCAGATGTCCACAAAGGCTAACACATGTGCCCCTACTCTGGAAAGTGCGGGCACCCCTTCATGCCAAGGAGGACTTCAGAGCAGGTTTGGGAGATTTAGGGGCCCAGGGTTTGTGGAGGAACTGGGCTTCTTGCTTAGGTTTTACCTTAGTTGCTGAAGCACGGGAATAAGGAAAGGAACTTTTTCTTGCCTCAAAGGACGGGTTATTCTTTTCAGCGTCAGGCCTAGGCTTCTTTTACTGGGATAAATAAGTACTCTTACCACCAGTAGCATCCTTGATGAGGGTGTCCAAAGCAGATCTGAAGAGACAATCACCCTTAAAGAGCAGGCACAGCAAATTATTTTTACATGCCTGCTCTGCACACCAACATTTCAACCAAACTTATAGAGTAAATAAAACGAGACACCCAATAGTATATCTACACAGTAGTGCAGGGCTGTTGGCACTCTACATGTTCCACAAAAAATGATTAGTATGTGGTAATGCTGGATCTGCTGCCATAATGTTTGACAGACTAACATCACGGTTATGCAGGTTGCAATACAAGGTCTGTCAGTAAGGGCAAAAATTAAGAGTGACTCAAGACATTTATCTATAAGATCCTTAAATGCTGGTGCATCCTCTACAGGGATCATCAGAGCTTTATTATGATGGAACATGTTTATAGTTAATGTAGTGATACTCAGCAGCACAGCCGACTCATAATTAGTATTCAAAAACCAGAGTCACACCAGAGGCTGGTGACTCTGGAAAGTGTTCTGTGGCTAATACAATACACAGAGATCTCGAAACTGCAAAAGGTAGATCACATCCCAGGCAGGGCCCAGAAATCTTCCAGTGGAGTTTGGGTATGGCCTCCAAAGCTGTTGCTGAGGATACACCATCCTGGATAGCTGCATAAGAGACCAATTTAAGCAACATGTGGGTGAAGTCTTGCCTGAAGTAAAAATTATCTTGAACCAAAAGAAAATAGCTAGTAAAACAGTTAAACTTTTCTCAGTAAAGAAAAGGCATCCATTCTCCTAAAACACAAGCAAAAACTGAGGCATACTAGGAGTGGGAGGGCTTATACCAATTGGGTCACTTTTTTTTTTGCTTGCCAGTGTCCAAATCCTCCTGTTGGCAGCATATAACCTAAACGTCACTGAATCCAGTGTCCCTCAACAAACTGAAATTAAATGTAATTAGGGGTTGCATGATTTCGGTTTTCTTTCACCCTTGTTAACGTAAATGTGATAAAAAGTATAAATAAAATATATAGTATGGTTTTCAGCATTATCCTTAAGAAATTAAAGACTTGCCTAAAGAACCATTTGCTCCTATTTTGCTACTCTACACCTATTTCCATTGTGGTTAGGTCCTAGTTGAATAATTGCTATCCTCTGTTATCCATTTTTTTTAAATAATCTTTATTAAATTTTAAATAGTTTTGAATCATACAATTTAAAACAACACAGTTCAACATCATTCCTCTCCTTTACTAAGGGAGCAATAGATTAAAAAAACTACACATCAAAAACACCATAAGTACCCTTTGTAACCTTTTCAAATTTCTAAATGCCTTCTTCGTTTGTGTTCTTAGAAGCCCATTCATCCTTCTCCTCACACCTTCCCAAACAATAACCAGGAAAAAAAAACAATAACCCTACCTTTATTACATTTTCCTCTCTCTCTCCAACTCCCACATACTTTTCTCAATGTACATCTTACTTCTCAGACCCTAACTTCTATCTACTAGTGTCCTTTCGAAGTCCACTGACATGCAATTTTTTTATCCAAGGGTCCCATGTTTTCTTGAATCTGGAGATTGTGTCATTTAACTACCTCCCGGCCGGCGTGAAAAAACGGCCGGCAGCTTCCTTGATGTAACATGTATATACGGCCTGTTAGCCCCGCCAACTGGGAAAGACACAAAATGTAAAAACTGGCAGCGATGCCTGTTAACATACAAGCGATCCGCCGGCTATGGGGCTGGTGGATCGCTTGTATAAGCTGGCGGCCCGAAAACGACGATTGCGGCATTTACACCACACGTTACATATCGCCGCAAACGTTGCAGTGAGAGCAATAATTCTAGGCCCATCAATCACTGATAACACTAAACTGATGAGCTGTAAAAGCTTTTAAAGCGTCGCCTATGGTAAATTTTGGGTATGGTAGTTTTTTGCGATTTCGGGGGTGCGCGCAATTTTTAAGCTTGACATGTTTGGTGTCTATTTACCCGACGTGACCCATCTTTTATATTTTACCAAAAAATTGGGTAATAATAATTGTTTCCCAACAATGTAAAAAAAACTTTTTTTCCTCAAAATTTTCAGTAATTTTTCCTAAATATAGTAAAAAATAAAAACCCCAGTGGTGAATAAATACCACCAAAAGAAAGCTCTATCTGTCCCAAAAAAATAGTATAAAATTAATTTCAGTACAGCGTTGCATGACGGAATAAACTTCAGTCAAAGTACCGCAGCGCTGAATACTGAAAAATGGCCTGGCCAGGAAGGGGGTCTAAACACCTGGTCAGCAAGTGGTTAAGATTGCAGAAAGTTTTTTAATTTATCATATACCATCCTATCTTGCTCCTTACTTGATGTATAGAGGGTATGTAGAGCTCCAAGCCTTTGCCAATGTCTGTTTTGCTGGTGTTATTTTTAAAAGTCACTAATTTAAACTGCATGTTGGTACAGCGCTACTGTCTTAAATTAAGCAAAGCCTCCCATGGATTGCATTCTACTCACCTTCCTATTACTTTATTCAATAAATACCTATCCAGAACCCCTTAGTTTTTGGACAGCTCCTTCATATATGTAACATTAAACCCACCTCATCACATCCCCTAAAGCATTTTGGGGAAATTCCCTCTGCAAATTTAGCTATTTTAAGGGGCACCATGTACCAGGGGAGCAGAACTTTATAATTGGCGTCTACTGCTGTCGCAGTGATTGAACAATGTTAAATAGGATCCCATATCTGTGCCCAGTCATTCGGTTCCAGTCGCTTCTCTAGATCCTGCTCCCATAGGAGCAAGTATATAGGTAGGCTTACATTCCAATAACTTTGATTGTTTTTAAATATTTGCAAATCAGGAGTTTTATACACAATCTAGAGCGGGACATCCCATACATTGCCTGAATCCTGCTAAATGACAACCTCTGATACAGGAAATCCTTTATTCTATAGAGGCTGGCTTCAATCCAAATTTGAAACTTATGAGAATGCTTAATTATTGCATTATTAATATGTATACGCTGAGAAGGTAGACTCCAACGTAAGGTCTCTACACCTATAGGGTTGACTTCATCTGCCTCTAGATGTACCCACAAAGGGGCAACGGGACCCATAAAATAAGAAATTAGTGACGCAATTGGTCCTGCCTGGAAGAAAGACATTAAATGTGGAACTCCAAGACCCTCTTTACTCCTAGATTCAACTAAAACTTTTTTAGCCACTCATGTTTTTTTCCGTTCCCATATAAAATGTTGGAACATCTGCTGAAGAGACGTCATCACGTATAACGGAATACTTATTGGCACCACTCGGAAAAAAAAATAGAATAACTTGGGTAGCAGAATTATTTTTACTGCTGCGGTTCTTCCCAACCAAGATATCCGATACTTCTTCCAGAATTCCATCATCTGTTTGACCTGACTTATGACTGGAGGATAGTTTGCTTGATACAAAAAAAAATAATAATCACTCAGCTACTAAGTGCACACCTAGATAACCAATACTATGAGATTCCCAGGTAAAGGCATACTGACCTTTAAATATTTGCATAATTTCTTGCTTTATGGCTATACCTAATGCTTTGGATTTAGAGTTATTAATTTGCAACCCAGAAACTTTCTCAAAGCTAAAAAGAAGCTTCAGTAAATACGGAAGCAAAGCTTTCCTTTGTTATCCAATGCACCTTCCTACAGTATATAGAGTAACAGGCAGGTTAGGTGCCAGCTGAATAATTGTAGGCAGGTAATAGATGCTTCGGAGCCAAGAAGGGTGAGAAATACCACACAAAAAAAGAAGGATGTAGTACAACATACTTTCTCATTGGCCACATCAGTAAGCTCAATAAATCCTTTCAATTTCACATCAGTGTCACTCAGTAGTTTCCACTGATCTCCTTCTATCCCCACGCCAACTTTCTTTATAGACTCATTTTCAAGCAGTCTCTTAAGACCTTTTGGAAAACCTGTACAAAGAAAGAACAGTTATAATCATATTTATCTCAGTTAACTAAGAAACCAGAACTAAAGAAAAATAAATACATTTGTGTGTGTGTGCGTATATATTATACACACATTATATATATATATATATATTTCTAGAGACACACACACACACAAATAGAATGTTATTGCTTCCAATGTATACTATTTCTGTGCCAGTGAATCAAAGTATTAAATCTAATTGGTCAGCATAACTAGCATTTTCAGAAAGTGAAGTGCTGCAGGTATTAAATACAAGCACCTAGAGGTGTCTGCACATTCTTGCAGCAACCTCTAAGTTCCCGTCTGTAGTATTAAATGTCGACCTGTCCTGACAGCCAAAGCTCCAACACTTTCAGGTAGTTTCCAGCTTGCCCATTACTGCCTACCCCCACATCTCAACTGGCCCATCATAAGAATGGGCTGCATCACAGGTCATTAGGTATGTGAAGAAAGCTTCAACACTACCAGCAAGTATTTTCGGCTCCAGCACTAGGCTGTAACAGCAGGAATGACACCGCTAGGCTCTATACCTAACATCATTTTGTATTAACAGTGACAGAGTTGATTCTAAGGTTGAAAAATAATTATTGTACCTATATAGCAGTCAGAGGCACATGTTGAGGAAAACAAACAAAAAAAATGATAGCCATGTCTAAGCCTAAGGGATAAAAACTATAATAAGAGTCTGATCCCCCACAGCAGAAAACAACGATTGAGTGGTGAGCCTTTGCGAAAGACAGGCATTAAGTCTACAGTGGCCCTTAAAAGGAGAACTATGAGATGAGTAATTTCCACTCACCTCATAGTTCTAGCTGACCTGTGACAATGAGACTGTCACAGGTCGGCTCAGTATCTAGAGGCTCTGCCTCTAGATAGGCAGAGCCAGCTGTCACTCACGCAGCTGGGCGGATCCCGACGTCCAGGTCGGGATCCGCTCTGGCTGCGGCATCTCAGTATACCGCGAGCTGCAGCTCACGGTATACTGAACTTAGGGTAACGGGAGGGCGCTAGTTTGTGTCCTCCCGTTACCTCAAGGAGAACTATGGGGGGGAAAACACTGACCCCATAGTTCTCCTTTAAAAGGTCAAAAAAGATCTGGTAAAAAAAAAGTTAGAAGTCTGATGTGGAAATGGCCATGCACTGACCCGTAGATACCATCAAAGTTCTGGGGGTGGTGAGGTCACTTACGTTGAAACTGAATAAGTTTAGCTTAACTGTCCGGAATTAGTATGCAACCAAAAAGCTAGAGTATGGCTGCTTTCATCTGAAGATTCTCACAAAGGTGTCTCTTTACATTTGACATGTAGTTTCTGGTGCTGAGAAAGAAAATGGCTGTACATGCCAGTAATTTACTGTAATGCTTACCTTCAAAACATAATTACAAAACAACTTCTGCAGATTCTTAAAATCATAAGTGTTCCCCTGACTTACTAAGTATAAGAACATACAAAGGGTAATCTGTTCTGTTCCAACCTTGAATCATGCACACCTGGCTCATAATATAAACTACATATTTTCTATCAAAACCGGATAATTAAGGCCTAAACAGCAAGCTCATTTAAAAGAACAGTATACCTGTCATGGATGAAATGTGAAATAGGTAGCATTCCAATTCTGAGAGACACACTTGAATAAGGGAAACCTTTCCAGTTTTCCCTTTAATATAAACAGGAGGCCATTCAATGTCAAACCCAATTGCTGACCCTTCAGGAAGCTTCTCTCTACAAAAAAAAAAAAAAATGATTAAAAAGGGAAATGTTAAACATGAATAAATCGTTTTTATACATGTCTTCTCTGAAAATGTTTTAAAAAGCAACAACTGACCAATGTTTGGAAGAGGAATATGAAGGACAAGTGACAACTGACCTATGCTTGGAGAAACACTGACCAAGATTTGGATGAGGACTAATAGTGTTAGAGATATGGGAAGTGAGGTTTGAAAGAGGCAATAGAAGGATGGTTAGGTTTGTCCTAAAACTGACAATGTACAACAAGGCTGCAAGTGCAAAATCCATTCTATCTGCATCCTTTACCTTTTACTAAGCCAATTTGCGTTTGTGTGTTAGGTGAATGTCACAAAGTTTTCAAAGGAACGCTATTAAAGTAGAATGCTAGACAAACAGCTAATTACGTAGTAGCTAAGCAAAAGGATTTGCACTTCTGTTTTTTTCAGGCTTGTGAATGGTATCCCTCTGCTACACTGCATGGCCAGGAAAGTGACACTGTTATACAGCACAGATTTTTAACACAAAAATTGCTCACAGAGAATCGGACACCTTACCATGGTATATAAACTCACACTTTTTTTTTTATTGCTAATCAGCACACTCTTTATAACATCTTTATAACATAAAAAAGCTATTTTTGGTCACACATGAATAGACATATTGAAGTCAGCATAGCTTCACCTCATTCAATAAGCAAAGTATAAAATACACTTTACCAAGAGACAATTGTCTTATCCTAGTGAATAAGGTGAAGATGTGCTAACTAACTTCAATCATGTGCAATAAAAAAAAAAGTTCTAATTTTTGAATATTCTTTACACAGTGAATGTTCTTTGTTTTACCCTGTTCAACTAATATTAGTGAAACTTCACTTTGAAAGTGAACATGCTCTACTCTAGTAAACCAAACCCACTGAATGACAAAGCTACTTACTCTATTGGTGGACCATTTCTGCTGGATAAAAATTATAGATATCACTCAAAAACTGAAGCTCTAAATACAGGTCTACAATTTGCAGTTATGTCCTGATGATGACATGAGGCTGTTGTTCTTCTGGACACATTCCATCACTACGTTTTGCAACTTTTTTTAAATCCCAATTCAAGCAAAGTTGGAACGTCGTGTAAAATCTACATAAAAACAGAATGCAATGATTTGCACATCTCATAAACCCATATTTCAGGGCTCAAAATTTCAAGTCCTGGGCTACTAGCCAGGCCTTAAAAGTTACTCGCCACCAGTTGCCCCACTTAACCCCTACCCTGCCCCTGCCTTAACTCCACCCCTAAACACACCCTTTTAAATGATCTTATTAACATTCTTATCTTATGATAATTGCCACTTGTAAACTGCAGATTAGGGAAACGCAAGTTCCCACCACAGGCATCCCTTATCGCCCCTGAAATATAAGTGTGAATGGGGCCTAATATACACGTACACTAAAACACAGGAATTTCGGCCAAAGCTCAGAACTGTCACAATGCTGCCCGAAAAGATCCAAGTGCAGGTAGTGACAGGAGCAGCTCTGTTCTCTGCATCCGACAGTGATGCAGACCATGTAGCTGCTCCCGCAAGTCAGGTACGTGGTCTGTGATCGCGTGCCTGACTTGTCAGCTGGCTGCGGGTCACATAGTGCCGGTTGGCAGGCCGGAGTAGGCATGCTGGATCAGTACTTTGAAACCCCAATTGCAATTTTTCCAAATTTTGAGCCCTGCCATATTATTCATGATAGAAAACAAATCAAATATTTAAACTAAAGAAAACAATAAGGTCATTTTGAAATTGATGGCAGCAACACATCTCAAAAAAGTTGGGACAAGGCAGCAAAAAGCTGACAAAGTGGTACTAACAAGGAAGAGCTGGTAGAACATTTTGCAACTAATTAGATTAATTGGCAACAGGTCAGTAACATGATTGGATATAAAAAGAGCGTCTAAAAAGGTGCCCATACACCTTACGATTATCGTCCGATAATCATATGCCATCGCGGTTTCGTCCGATAATCGCAAGGTGTTATGGGCAGTGTACAACAGCAAATACTGTACAATCGTATGACTTATGACTTTCAAGCATGTTTGAAAACTTTGGTCGATCGTACGATTTTCGCAAGGTTAGTGGCGTTTCCGTACGTCAAAAATCGTATGATCTACACTGCTCATGCGCAAACGAAAATACGTGCGGTCGACTACCGCAATTCGTCCAGGTGCTTTTCTTTAATTACGGCTAATTGAACCTTGCGATAATCGGGGCATGATGGGGCTGCCGTACGACAATCGTACGATGGTTCGATCATCGGACGAAACGTTTCGCCCGATAATCGTAAGGTGTATGGCCACCTTTAGAGAGTCAGAGTGTCGCAGAAGTAAAGATGGGTTTTCTGAACATCCAGAAATGTTGTTGTCTACTCTGGGCCAAAGCTCATTTAAAATGGTCTGTCGAAATGTGGAAAACTGTTCTGTGGATAGACAAATGGAAATTTGACATTTTTTTGGCAACCATGGGCACTGCATCCTTCGGACTAAAAAGAGGATTAACCTTCCCTCTTGTTATCAACGCTCAGTTCAATAGCCTGCATCTCTGATGGTATGGGGGTGCATTCGTGCGTATGGAATGCGCACATCTGGAAAGGCACCATCAACGCTGAAAGATATATCCAGGTTTAAGAGCAGCATTTTCTCCCATCCAGACATTGTCTTTTTCAGGGAAAGCCTTACATATTTCAGCAGGACAATGCTAAACCGCATACGTCATTTAGGACAACATCGCGGCTTGCAGTCTGCCTGCAGTCCAGACCTACCATCAATTGAAAATATGTTTTGCATCTTCAAATGAAAAATACGACAAAGACGACCCAGGACTGTTGAGCAGTTAGAATCATATATCAGGCAAGAATAGGACAACATTCATCTCCCAAAACTCCAGCAACTGGTCTCCTCGGTTCCCAGACATTCGCAGAGTGTTGTTAAAAGAAGAGGGGATGCTACACTGTAGTAAGCATGGCCTGTACCAAATTTTTTGAGACGTGTTACTGCCATCAATTTCATAATGACCTTATTTCTTTTTTCTTAAAATGGTACATTTTCTACGTTTAAACATTTGATATGTTTTCTACTTTCTATTGTGAATAAAATATGGGTTTATGAGATTTGTAAATCATTGCATTCGGTTTTTATGTAGATTTTACACACATCCCAACGTTTTTGGAATTGGGTTTGTAGTTACCTAAAGAATTCCTGCATATAAAATAATAATTGTATACGATTTAGTTTAGAGGTTAAGGTAAGGCCCTTGCAGAGGACGAGCATCTCATGTAGTGGCAGCTGTTTTGCCTGCATCATACTGGTCTAAGCTTCATCACAGATGGTGTTTTGCGGATAGGAAAACATAAAGGGGACACAGGTGAAACACAATTGCTTATAATAGCTGCACATTAACTGCAGTGCCAGTGTCAGCAGGGGTAAAAGAAAAATAAACATAATGCTACACTGCAGAGGTAAAGTGCTAATAATAGATCTACACATTAAAATCCTGGTGCCCACAGGTTAGTTTTAAGAGTTTTAAATGTGCAAAATGCTTATTCATAGCTGTTTTGTAGCAAAAGTACCCATAGGAGTAAATGTAACACTGGTTGAGAGTTTGTAACAAAGTAGTCTGATTTTCTTTTACATGTTCAGTCATTTACCAAAAGGTATATCTACACATCTCACCTTTTTCACATGGCCTACATAATATCCATTACACCTCCATTATCTGCATGTTTTCCAAAATAATTTCAACTTTTATTTTCAAATGAAAATGTAATACAGTACAGTACAGTAGTATGTAAGCATATGCCTGGTAAAGACACTATAAGTAATATTACACATACATTGTCCATAGTAGCCTGAATTATTGTTTTCATTTCACAGATAATTAAAGATATAAGCTATTGCTATAGGCAGCATCTACACTTTTCAGAGATATATTATCTTTAGGGGCTAAAACAAATTTTATGAACCTAAAAGCCAAACTGGATTATTTGCTATATAGAAAAACGTAATTTGTCTCTGTTTATTCCCATACAATAGTTATTCCCATAGTTTTACCCAGGAAGCAAGAGTGAAATTTTATATAAAAACCAAAACCACTGACTAAACTTGCACTACAAGTAGAGGTGCACCGAAATAGAAATGTAAAAACTGAAACGAAACCGAAATAGAAAAAAAATTGTCAGGCCGAAACAGAAAATGTTTTTATTTTAATGTTTGTTATATTTTATTTATTTTTTATAAACTGTTAATTTTTCTTATATTTATTCATTTATTAAACATTTTCATTTTTTACTTTACTTTTAGGGGCTTTGGGAAATATTATGGGTCTAAACAGACCCCTGATAATGCCCTGTTAAAATAGAAAAAGAGATTGAGAACACAAAGTCCTCTATTTCTTTTTCTGCATCCCCCATTAAACTCGAACAGGAATCCTCTATGAGTGTTCCTGTTCATTGATAACATGAGAATATAGTATGTTTACTATAACCACAATTATGAAAGAACAGGAGTGGATATAGATCACTCCCATTCATAATTGAGGATATATTAACCATACCATATCCTCAATTATCTACAATACACTAAGTGATCACTGATCGCTGAGTGTTTGTAGCCTTCTCTCCTCTCTGACACACACTGTCACAGGAGGCTGAGTGAGCAGTGCGAGAGGAGAGCCCAGCCTCCTGTGACAGCGCTGTCTCCGCCCCCACACCGCTCTGCCGCACTGTGATAGGCGGCTGAGCGGTGTGGGAGGAGAGACACCGGCCGCTCACAGCGCTCGACCGGCTGGCACTTTGTCTCCTCCCTGCTGGGACAGAGCAGCGCCCAGCGGAGGGGAAAGAAAGCAGGGATGCGCCGATGTATTGGCAGGAAAATGGCAATTTCGGCATTTAGCCAAAAGTGCCATTTTCAGTCGATATGTTTCGGCGGCCGATATATCGGTGCATCCCTAATTACAAGTAGTTCCATAACAAGCACTGCACTGTATGCTTACCTGATACACTCTGACAAGTAAGAGCAATCATTGGACTCATTACTATAGTAAACAGAACCACTGAATTCCAAGTATGGGAGACTGTCTTCCAAAATGTTTTTCTTCCAGGTAAATTTCTAAGTAAAAAACAAATGACATTGTCAATGCATAGAGCCCACGTGGCTTGCATTAATCACTTTATTAGCAATTTATTTGAACCTTTTATTACTATTCATAAGGATCTTAAACTCTGTGACATCTTGCAATTAAAGAAATGGAACTCACCAAATCTCCAGTGACTCCAAAACATACATCTAAAGGTCTAAACTTGTAAAAGGTACTGTGATAACCCCCTTGCAACCAAGTCTTTCTGCAGCAGCTGAGGTTATTTTCTCAGATCTGTCAATGTCTTCTGATGTACAAAGCACATAAGAGGGCTGTAAGAAAACTTGCAACAGAAGTGATCAAGGCAGGACATTTCAGTAAGAATTGTCAGCATGAGATTGTAACATAGGCAAAAGCCCCCTGCCCTGGCTGTTCCATTACACTAGAGTTCTGAGTAAGCAGCAATAAAGAGCAATTACTATCTAGAAACAGCAACACAAAGAAAAGCCACTCAAGCCCACAGTAAAGGAAAAGAGGATTGAGCTGTTGTGACAAAGAAGCTGCGAAGCAGAAGAAACTAAGATCTGAAAATGCTAGCTTCCTGTCCGTCACATTGACCCACTCGCTTCCATAAACTGTGTAAATGACCCACAATAAGTATACAGATCAAGGAAGTGAGAGCAAAGTCAGATACGTCAGAGACTCAGTAAATTGCTCCAAGACATACCAACACACATTCAATAGTTGAAGTCTTTTTTATATTTAAATACTGATACTTTTCATTAATCAAGGTACCACTAAAAGGGATAGTTCACCATTTAACACACACAAAAAAAAAGAAAAACGGTGAACTGACCAAAAAAAAACCCTGCTTCCTATCTGTAATACTGACCCTGGTCCATCATCCCCCCTAGCCAGTAAAATGGTCCAGAAAACATTAATACACAGCCACAGACACTGTATAGCAGCATAATGATTGCAATGGGGAGCAGAGATTGGCCAGTGCGGCCACGTGACAGTGCTCAACAATGAGAAATGTACACTAACAGACTAACAAATGGACATGTAGCATTTTTTCCAAAGCAGAGCACCATAACGCACGGCTGTGCATTACCACATGTTGTGATGAGCTGCAACACATGTGCGTCAGATCTGTGTTGCCTTTGTGCTTTGGGGTCCCATTCAAAATGAAGTGGCGTACATCAACTGTTAACAAAAGTAACGTGTCAATTTGTGATACCACAGCACACCCAATCGCATAAGTGTGTTTCAGTTTATTAGGGTGTTTAAAACATCAGCAATTATATGTTCAACTTAATTTCTACATTATACCTGTATGTAGATCAGGGGTGTCCCGAGGTATGGTGTCACCCGGAGCAGCCACCGGGTGTCACCTAAGCTGTGATGTGACACGCTGCTACCTGCCAGCAGCCATCTTGGCAATTATTTTTTGTATTGTGAACCCATAATTAGCTGCTCACAAAATTAATCCTCAAAGATATTTTAATTTAGCATCAAATGCAGGTGAGCATAACATGCCTACAGTATGCAACACTTTTGATACAATGAACTCTTTTTTGTATACACAAGTACGGATTATGATCACTGCAGGTATATATGTGAAATCAGCCAATTCTTATTGGATGCTGTCCAGTAAAAGAAAATGCTTCCAAATATGAAGAGAAAGCAGATATATGATCAAACATTTTTCTTCCCCATTGTACAAGTAAAATACAGTGGTACCTCGATTTTTGTACAAGTAAAATACAGTGGTACCTCGGTTCACAAACGCTTCTGTTTGCAAACAATTCGGTTCGTGAACAGGGAGTTTGGGAAAATGTTGCTTCCGAAGGCAAAGTCCGCATCGGGTGACAAATAGTGATGAGCTCGGGCGTGTTCGCAGCTCCACGTGCCGAGCCCGTCAGGAAGCTGACAGCGTGGCAACTCCAATCTCAGGTACATTATCCCAGTCCGCAGCTGCAGAGATCGGCATATGTCTCAGTGCCTGTGATTGGCGCTGCAGGACTGTCAGCTTCCTGGTGGGCTCGGCACGTGGAGCTGTGAACAAGCACGAGCCCATCACTAGTGACAAACACAACCGCAGCCATCTTCCCTGCTCTGACACTGGTCGTGGCTTCCTCTAGTCTGATCACAGTTTGATTCGGTTCGCGACAAATTCAGTTCACGTCTAGAATCGTGGAATGAATTAAAGTGACATTAAACCCTCAGATTTTTTAACATAAAACAATACTGTAATGTGTGCCTTACTGTAATCCATGGTTGTTTCCCTTCTCTTTGCTGCTCTTACTTTTAAATCTGTATCTGTTCTCATGCTCTGCAGAACTTCTGTTTTGCAGCAGACTGCCTTGTCTCAGGAATGGATACACGTTGTCTGTGTATCCGTTTGTATAGGCTTGTAACCTGAGCCAGCACTACAGGAAGAGGCCCTGAGCTGAAAAGGGAAGTTCTCCCCAAGCATGAGAAGACACGAGGAGGCACACATTACAGTATTGGTTTATGTTAAAAAATCTGAGGGTTTAATGTCACTTTAAGTTCGTGAACCGAGGTACCACTGTACTTATCTTGGAGTCCAGTGAGGGACACAGCAAAGCTTTCAGGCTGAACTGCCACCAACAAGAGGAATGGACATTGGCAGAAAAAAAAAAGCCTTATACCTTTCCATAAACATGGAGTCTGCTGGGACTGCTGACATCACATTCAAGATCAAGATGGTGATGCCTATCAGCAGTCTCAGGCCTTCTGAATGTTTACATGAGGAATGCTTTTACAGAAAATAAACTTGGAAAAATGCACGGATAATCTTTTAAGAAGAACACAGTTGAAATAAATGATCTGAGAGGAAGGTCTCTCTAGCTAATGTCTCATGGGAGGTTTATATACGTCTATAGTACACTTTATTTTAAGAGATGTTCAGGTTGTGGTGCAAGGTTCTTTGAACACACCATCATTGGTCTCAAAAAGATGAGAAGTACCTTATGTTGAGTGCTTAAAAACATTTCAGCCTCTGGGCCATTAGGAGGGGTAGAGATAGATTTTTCAGACACAATGTATGGAAGTAGATCAGCGTGTAAGAATATCTGCCACTTTGTGGTATGTAATCTTAATCTGTAGTAACTTTAGCAAATGTTCTGTGACAACTTTCTCATTAAAAAAAAATTTTTTTTACACCTGCAACAAAGTATTACATCAAATATCAAGGATGTTCATTAGCCTCCCAAACAAGCCTTAAAAAAAAAAAAAAAAAAAAATCTAAAAAAAACCCCACTTGCCTTTTTCACCTCACTGGGACCACTTGTATCTTGTCCAGACATCCAGTCAGGAAGTTTTCTTTGTTCTCCGCTCATTTTCTTATAAACACAAAGTAAAAGCAAGACCTGCAAAAATAATGCTTATGAAACATTACTCAATACCATTTAAATATGTAAATTCAAAATAAGAAAACAGAAATTACTTTGGTAACTCTATATTCACTTATTCACTGTGGTAGCACTTCTTAGAAAGTAGAAATACCAACCCGCAAAGCGACAGGAACAGGAGGATCCAATTCCCAAACCTTCTTTTCCAGCCGCAGTGTTTAACAAAGAACGAAAGTACAACCGAAGGCTCCTGCATGATAGTCTAAACAAGTCCCACATCCAGTTACTATGTGATAAAGACTGATAAAGCAAACAAAAAAACTTTCTTTACCTTCCCTGGTTGAGGGCCCATACACAACAACCAGTGCGTTCATTTCACAGTTATGTGACATGAACATGTTGGACCACTTAATCAAACCCTCCCCGTGTTCTGGGGCGTGGTGGTGCCATTCATCTCAATGACACCACAGACACACCTCCTGCCTGCAGTGTGACTGCCCACACCAGAACGTGTGGTACAGCAATGCCCTGCGGTCCAGTGCAGTGCGATTGCAAAAAATAGTATATGCACAGCTGACAGGTGAATAAAAGCAGCCGGGAGGAATAGCCAGACTGCTATTGGCTATTTCAAATTGCAATAGCAGGCTGGCTATTGTACCCGTCCACTGAGCAGAGTAGCTAGTAGATAGAACTTTCTCTCTCAGGTCCACTTCTCTGCACAGTGGCGGGGTTTCAACAGCCAACCTGCTATTACAATGCAGAACAGCCAATATCAGTCTGGCTATTGCTCCCCATTGTTTACATTCTGCTTCAGTTGTTAATGACATTCTTTAGTGTGCATCAAGCCACTGGCAAAAAGAAGGAAAGAAAAAAAAAAAGGACGACAGTTGTCCTCCATTTTTTTTGCAGTTTGCAGTTGCTTGAGAGTGCCAGATAATGGGGAGTTTACTATATTATTATTATTATTATACAGGATTTATATAGCGACGTCTGCCTTCCCTGGACAGTCTGTATGACGAAAGGAATCGGGATTAGGTTCAGGCACATACTGAGGTTACACCTGCAGGAAGTGCTAGTGGAGGTCATCAGTTCCGACTCCGCTCTTAAGAAATCGGTCAACTGTTTGTTTGCTACATGCTTATACACTATGGCCATCTTGTAAGTGTTTCTTCTTATCCTTTATTAAACTTGATGTGATGTACTTCACTATTGGGAGTTTTTTCTCTTTTGGGTACGGTAATGGTCCTGTGTGGCATCTTGGAGGAATAGCCTTTCTAGATCTCATATTACCTACAGAGCGATGGACAATAGTTTCGATAAGCGGAGATGGGTAAGCCAAGGGGTCTGCTAGTCTGATTCCGTAATCTGAGGGAGGGGGGTAGGACAACAAACAACACCCAAACGGAAGAAGGAAAAAACAGATAGAGAGAAAGAAAGAAAAGAAAAATAAAAATAGGACAGAAGGGTAGTATCAGCAAGCAAGTATGGGAAAAGAGGCATAGGTCATTGGAACACAATAGAGACTCCCAAGAAGGCCGCCACCGGGGTGCCTCCTAATGTGCTGCCGAATGAAGAGATGTCATACAGAGTACGCTCGTCCCTCAGGGGTGTTCATGTATTCCAGCCAGTAAAACCACGTCTTAGAGTAACACTCCTGTCTGCCCTGAGAGGACAGAGTCATGTCTTCCATCACCCTAATCTCCTCTACCCTGCGTATCCACATAGATATTGTAGGGGGAGAGGAATTCCTCCAAAGACTAGGAATGCAGGATTTAGCTGCATCCAGCAAGTGACGTACCACAGATCGGGAGTAGGCTTTCCTCGACATAGGAAAATTGTGCATTAGGAAAATGGTGGGTTCTATCGGTATGTCAGATTCCGTAAATTTCTGTACAATATCACGAACCGTGGCCTAAAATCTTGATAAGGCTGGGCAAGACCAGAAAATATGGAGTAGGGTACCCCCGTCTGCGTTGCATCTCCAGCAGACGTTGGCTAATCCATCATATATTCTGTGTAAGAGCACCGGTGTGCGATATCATCTCATAAGAATCTTATATTTAGTCTCCTGATGTTTAGTGCAGATCGAGGAACGTAAGGTAAAGTGGATAACATTCCGACATTGGTCCTCTGATAGAGTGGTCCCAAGCTCCTGTTCCCAGCGTATCAGGAACGCGGACTTTCCTGGTGCTTTAGGCGTTGAGAGAATAGCGTAGACCTCTGAGAGAGTGTGCCTCGTCGGGCCTCTAGAGTCACAGAGTCTCTCAAACGACGTACATGTGGTTCCAAAACACGCCGCCGGTGGTAGAGTAAGGAAGAAGTGTCTCAACTGGTATGCTTTCCACGGATCCAAACCAAAAACTCCTTCCGGAGCAGTAAGGGATGTCATGGAGGGCCACGCGCCTCCATGTATAAAGTGGGAGGCCTTGTCAGGTTCTTGGCATACAAAGATCGAAAAGGACCCGACAAGGTTCCCGGCGGGAAGGCAGGATTACCCATAATTGGGAAGAGCGGAGAAGCCTCACCCAAACGCCATCTGGTGAATGCTCTTGAGCATACGGAGAGAGTTGTACCAATTAGGGGGTGAGCTCTTATCGACGGGGGAAGAGTCGAGTAGCACCACACCGCTCTAGCCAGGAGATGGGGTGTCATGGATTCCTCTAAGGCCACCCATTGTTTAGTGAGTGGGTGTCTGCACCAATCAACTAGTCGGACCAGATGGCTGGCCGTATAGTATTTCCGTAAGTCGGGAAGTGCGAGGCCCCCTGAGTCTTTAGGTAAAGTCAGAAGGGTGCGGCTCAAGCGGGGATGACGGTTAGCCCAGATAAACTTAGTCAGCAACGAGTTGGTCTGACGAAAGAACCTGTCTGGAACCGAGATTGGTAGGGCTTGAAAAAGATACAGGAATTTAGGCAATATAGTCATTTTGATGGCGTTGCACCGCCCGAACCAGGAAAAGAAGCCCTTCTGCCAGTTGGAAAAGAGCGTGCGTACCTGTGCTAAGAGACGTGGGAAATTGTAGGTAAAGGTATCTCTCACGTTCGGGGGTATGAATGTGCCCAGGTATTTCAATACTTGAAGTAAAGTTAGTCTGCAGGGAGCAAGTGAGTGGAGTTAGAAGTGAGACACCCATAGCGGTGGATTTGCTAAAGTTGATCTTCAGATTGGATAACTCACCGTACGCAGAGAATTCCTGCATGAGATTAGGCAGGTAGATTACCGGGTTGGTAAGAGAGAACATCAGGTCATCCGTAGGCAGATACTTTGTATTCCGCTGATCCCATTGTAATTCCAGTTACATCAATATTAGACCTAATGTGTCCGAGGAAGGGCTCCAAGGACAGGGCGAACAGGAGTGGTGAAAGGGGGAAGCCCTGTCTAGTGGCATCGGTGATTGGTAAAGGGTCTGAGAGGACAACAATTACCTTAGCACACGCCGTTGGAATGGAGTACACTGCCGAGACCCAGGATAACATGTGGTCACCCAAACCAATATGTTTCAAAGTAGCGAACAGGAATTCCCATGAGACCCGATCGAAGGCCTTTTTGGCATCGGTGGAGAGAAAGAGACATGGTATTTTAGATGTTGCCGCGTAATGGACAAGGTGACAGGTCTTGATCGTGTTATCGCGGGCTTCCCTGGCTGGGATGAATCAGACTTGGTCATAGTGTATCCGGTCAGGCATATGAGGGCTCAGTCTAGTCGCCAATATATAACAGCTTCAGATCGGTGTTGAAGAGTGATATAGGACGATAGCTTCTACAAGAAGAGGGATCTTTACCTTCCTTAGGGATAACTGAAATATGGGCAGACAGAGAGTCTCTAGTGAGCCTAGAGGAAGAAGGCAAGGCATTAAAGGCCGTTGTAAAACAGCCTGTGAGTTCTGCCATCAAAAGCTTATAGTATTGAGTTGTGAAGCCATCGGGGCCCGGTGATTTTCCGGACTTCGTAGCTTTAAGCGCTGCGGTAAACTCGTCCGACGTTATGGGAGCCTCCAGTGCAGTTCTGACTTGCGCGTCCAAAGAGGGCATAGCGCTCGAGGCCAGGTAAGAGGCGATCTTATCCTGTAAAGTGCCCCTGGACGTTGGGTCAGGTGGAGGACTCAGATTGTATAATTTGGAGTAGTAATCTCGGAAAGCATTAGCTATAGCCTTCGGGAGGGACACTTTAGTTTGGTGGGGTGTAACCACACAGGGCACATGAGAGCTGCCGTTGGTCTCTTAGTGCTCTAGCCAGGAGCTTCCCGCATTTATCTCCAGATTCGTAATATTTCCTTCTACAACGTGTGAATGCCGTTTTCACTCTATAGGAAGTCAGTGAGTTTATCTGTCTGCGTACGGAAAGTAGGTCAGCGGGTCGGTTTATGTCGAAGTTCCAGATTGTGTAAGGTGCGCAAAAGATCTAGCAATTCAGCATCCCTACGACGCCTAACTCCTGAGCCATGTTTAACCAGAACACCGCTGATATAGACTTTATGGGCTTCCCAGAGGAGGACCGGATCGCAATCCTCCACGTCGTTAAGGTCAAAGTAGGAGTGCAATTCCTTAGCGACATCGGCCAGGATGAGCGGGTCTTGGAGGAGGCTATCATTAAGGCGCCACTGCCACGATTTGTGTGAAGGGCGGTCAGAGAGGGCAATGCGCAAGGTGATAGTGCCAATATCCATGGCGGTTATCAGCACTAAGTGTTGATGTGGGACAAAGAACATGTCTTTCCTCGGATATGTATCGTGTGGTGTAGAATAGGTGTAGTCCTTCACAGTCGGGTGTTGACGCCAGGCGTCCACCAGCTGGGAGCGAAAGAAATGGAGAATACGTCTATTAGCCGTCGGGGAAAGGGATGACGAACCTGAAGATGAGTCCAGGGACGGATCCATCGTTAGATTGAAATCACCTCCCATGATTAAAATCCCCTCAGTATAGGTCAATAGCTTATCCAGAACGCTTTCCAGGAAGACTCCCTGGTTGAAGTTTGGGGCATAAATTGC